CCCCCCCCCCCCCCCCCCCCCCCCCCCGGTTCCATGGAAATCGGTGTTCTCTGTGCCGGTTGAAGTATTATAGAGATGCGAGGGTCTAGTCTACGCGCTGGCAACGGCTGCGCAGGTCATGTTGACTACCTCTCGATCACACCCGTACCCAAAAATATTCCGATGCAGTCATTCTTGTGCCTTCTTCGGACTATTTCGGGCGGCTTTGGTGTTTTAGACGCTCGAGGTTCATGCCCAACCCAGGGTCGGCGGGACCTTGTCTATTATAAAAATACTTTCTACACCCTCTCCGTACGTATTCCACGGAGCCCCCGCACCTTCAAAATTTCTCTCAATATCCACTGGGCCGTGTGCTCGTCGAGATTGTTCGTGCTCGACTTGATGAGGTCTTGCAGCGAGCCCCCCTCCAAGTACTCCATTGAGATCCACAGCGCGCTGATGATTTGGTTGGAAGGGAGGTAGAGAGAAAAATCGTCACTAGCGGGGCTGGCTGCGGAAGGCGGGATGATGCCACTCCAGTACATAGCACGCCGGCACCATTCGAACGACAACGAAGGAGCGGTTTTTGCGTGACGAACAAGGGTGTTATAGCTGTACGAGTTCGCTGAGAACGCCGTCCAACGTTTTCGTACACGTTTCTAAAACTACTTTGGGGTCGGTTGGCTGGCTCTTGCTCCGAATGTACCACCAAGAAGAAAAAATGCGTGAAATTTCTGACAACAATCTGTCGCCACAGCAGTTGCGGGAAAACCACCGGGTTCAAGAAGAACCGTGTCAAGTCTTTCGCTGCGACATGCGCGAACACGACGACGCCCACAACATGTACCGGTACTGCTCCGCACACCACACGCCGCCAATCATGCCAGCGCTCCCCGCCGTACGGGTGGTTCGCAGCACAGCAGCAAGGTGCCTCCGCTCGACCCGAACCCCTGACGGTCGCCTTTCGCCCCAAAGGAAAGACTCCTCCTTCGCCACTACTGCTAATAATAGCAGCCTGGTCTGAGGACGGGAGCTGAGCGTGCGTCCTACTCTTTTTCTCAGGGTCGCACAAGACAGTGTCCGACCATCGAGTCACGGGGGGGGCAGCAAGAGCAAGCCGAACCGTCACATTGTGCTGCTGTAGCGATCGGTGGTTGCCAGGCGCTATAGCTCGAGCACCAAGACTAAAAGACTGCGGCATCATCGACTACTCCTGTACCCGCGAAAGAACGCCACGCGGGTGGCACCATGAAGCCCAGCCCCCCAGCTTCGGCGGCGGTTGCCAAACGCCAACCGCAGCATCTGGTCACGTCCAAACGCTGAAGGGCACCTTACGGAGTAAAGCCCCAAGCCCCACAAGACGAACCGCGTGGAGCGTCAGACCGCCGACGTGAGCCGCGAAGCATGGAACGACCATGTACTGCTGTGTCGTAAAAACCTTCGTGGCTCACGTTCGGAAGATTTGACGGTCCATACGGCTCGCCACCGTCCGTGTGGGACGGCCGTCGGCTCTACCCCGTCGTTTCCCTTATCAAGAGTCTTGAGACAAGGCCCGGCGACGTGGTGTTGCGGTTGGCGTTTGAACACCGCCGCTGATTCCGCCGCCAAAGCTGGGAGGCTGGGGTTCTTGGGGGGCCATCCATGGGTGCAGAAGCAGCCAGTGATGCCCCACTACCATAGTCTTGGCGCTTGTACGCCCGAGTTCCCACCTACAGCAGTAGCACCCATCGACACCTTTCACACACCCCTTTTGATGATGGCTACTAACAAAGCGCGACGGTCCAGCTTGCTCTTGCTGCCCCCCCGCTCTTGCTGGCCCCCCGTGACTTGACGTCTTGTGCGTCCCTTGAGAAAAAGTAAATTGGGACACACGCTCAGCTTGTTGCCCTCAGAACAGGCTGCACAGCTGGCCAAAAAGGAGTGTCCTCTCATGAGACAGAGGCCACCATCGGGGTCCAGCGGAGCAGGCGCCTTGCCGTGCTGCGGACCGCCTTATTGTGCTGAAGAACCACCGTGCGGTAGCAGCCCCGACAACGAGCGGCGCAAGTGGTGTGCTTTCGGCGAGGTACTGCGTGTATGGTCGCCGTTTGTGTGCGTGCGCGCGCACGCGCAACCATGTCTCGGCAAAAAAGTACGTCACCATTTTGAAACTCGTCATCGCATCCAACACGATGTGTCGCGTGGGGAGGAAGGGGTAACGAAGTGTTCGTGCCTTTATTGGCTGACCAATCAATCACCTTCCGACGATGAAGCTGCCATGGTACCGGGTGAGCTGCGGGCAGTTGAAGGCCTGCAGCATCTTGATCTCCTGCTGAATGTTGTCCAGATCATCCTCTGCGGCTTCTAGCTCCACCACCTGGGTGGAGTATAAAGAGAACAGGGAGGAGGAGATGGAGGAGGTACCTCTCGACAGTTAACACTATTTAGCGCACGATCGACCAGCGAAGCATACATCTCGCCGAACGTTCGACGTTTTTTTCTTTATCGGTTGATAAGAAACGCTACCCTTGCGTGTCTTGTTACTTCATAATTTTATTTTTTATTTTATTCTCTTAGTATGACCCAACGAATCCATAGCGTCAGCGGAGACTATCTGCATTTCCACGATTTCCCGAGCAGTACACAGCGATATCTCCCCTGTGGGTAACATAATCAAAAAGAAAGTTTGGTGGCCGTCTTGTGCATCTATCTGTTTGGTATGCTGGAAAGGTGTAGAAGGAAGGTGTTGTCGGAAGACAAGTGGAGAAAAACATGCATGGAGCGAGTGACGTCGGACGGCGCGCCGCGGTCGTCCGGTTAGAATGTTTGTATCCAGCAAGAAGGGAGCTCGGAAAAAGAGAGGAGGAATTTCGTACTTGTAGGAAGGGTAAAAGGCATCAAAGACTGATGGTCTTGTCGGAAGCCCTGCTCTGAGCTACATATGTGGCAAGATTGCTTCGGGGGGGTCTAAAGCCTGGCTGCTACCTATGCAGGTGTCTGCCTTCCGGCCGGCGTCGTGAATCCCTCGCTACTGCCGCTACGGAAGGACTGCCAAGGAAACAGATCCTTTTCTCGCCCCACTGGCGGAGCTTCATTTCTTGCTGGTCATTCCGAGGCACGCACAGAGCAGTATCAGAGTCTCCTGCTGCTGAATAGGTATTTACTTCCTTCGCGGTTCTCTTTGCTACATGTAGCCCTTCAAACGGCCACGACTCCACAGCAGTTACGTACCTTCATGAGAGAGCAGGGCTCCCGCGTTGCACCGAGAGTGTGTTTAGGGGGTCTCGCCACCTACTTGTTACTGCTGTGCAGCAGCACATCCGGCGGAGTATTCACGAGATTACACCCGGTAGATCGCCACCCCAGAAGTTTACCGCAACAGCAAAAATCTACCAAAATCCCATCAGTCGAAACATGAAAGGCCTTCGTTGTCGTCGCACACTGCTGTTGCAACAGAAGTATATCAAGGCAGTAGCAGCAGGCTTCCCGAGAAATTTTGTTTGTGGTCGCTCGCGCCTTGCCCGGGATACAACACGAAAAATTATTCGGTGCGATGGATCGTGGAATAAATTGTCATCCTGCTTGTGTTCTCAAGGCAACGCTCAACCTCGCAGCGATACATCCGCGAATGGAATGTGTGCGGTACCGCTCCAAAATATCAGAAGTACTCCAATTTCCACAGCAGCACTGGTTGCGTGTGCGCCGCTGGTGGTCGAACAGAGAGAGTCTGGTGTTGTGGACGGAGACAAAGGGAGTTACATCAGTGAAGCTACACACGCCTGTCATCTTGTTGTCTGTGCCGCGCGCACAAGAAGCAGTAGGCGCTGCCTCTCCTAGGGTAATGACGCATCTATGGAGAAATAGACGCATGGATGCATGTCCAGAGAACATTAACATTCCTTATGGTGGTGGTGTGTCTGAGGCATCGTACCGAACACCGATCGTTTTCTGCCTCGGGGCTGAAAGTCGCTACAGGTGTACTACATGTAGCTCTGCTTTAACTCTCTGGTGCCTGGTACATGAGCTATACTCAACGATGCACGGGCCCTGTTGCGCCGAAGAGAGAGATAGTGCGGGTGGGGTGGGGTGGGGGGGGGGGGTCATCTGCAACGTCCCGAACGACGCAGAGAACAATAGTTGGGCTGACTGCTTATCCGACAACATGTACCGCTTGGCTTTACATGACCACTTGCTGAGCGCTACACACTTAGTACGGCTGCATGTCGTAGACAACAAATGGCGGCACGCCGCAGTTGAGAAAGGCTCGAAAGAGTCCGCATGCGCAATTGCTGCGGCGTGCCCCGCGGTACCCGGACAACCGCATGTGTTCGCATGCGTCGTGACATGCCCACCCTGCAAGATTTAGACTTTCTAAAAAGAGGGTTAGGGTTGGAAACGCGGAGCGACGGTTGGTCCGCCCGAAGTCTTACATGCACCGAGAGGCCATCGGAAGCGAACAACCGGTGCCAGTTTCTGCTGGACATACATACCGCCGCGAATGGGATGGACGGATTTCCCACTACTGCTGTGTGGTGTTGCACTCTGCTGCTGTGGTGAGGGACACATGCGGTCTGGAGGATTGGTCTCTGGCGAGGAGAAGTTGAACGTGCAACGATGATGTAAAATCTGGAAATCATCCATCAGTCTGCACGTTGTGTGCGTTCCTTCTCGCATTGATGTCCTCTCGGCGGCCCGCGTCCCTGAGTTTCGCTACACAAGGAAAAGGCGAAGACGATTTTCACACGGTCTCCCTGTTCTTACGTAAGGCAGTGCGTGTCATGATGGCCAACAGCACTCTCAAAGAGCGTGTGTGTCTGTCTGCTGTGGTCGTGCGCTGCGCTGGGGCGACACGTCGAACCGAACAGGCACCAGCGGCGAGGTTATGGCCATTATTGTTTATTGTTGCCTGGAGGCTCGATTTGGCCTGGCTCCGCTTTCGGCGGTGGTCCACACACGTGCACCCAGCCAATACGTCAAAGCTCTTCATGCCGATGGAACAAGCAGCTGTGTGCTGGCGAGACTTACAAAACAGCGTGAAAACAGCATCATGTACTGGGAAGCGAGAACAAATTACGCGAATACTCCAGCATCACAGCAGTCTTGCGCAATGTTGCTTGCTGACCGTACCTTGATCGCGTGCACCTCCCCGCTATCGTGCTGGGCCCGGTAGACTTTTCCGTAGGATCCTCGACCAATCTGATCCAGCAGCTCATACTCCTCTTCGCACACCATTGATCTACGTGCCTCTGCTGCTCCTGGCCGTGTGTGTGAACGTTTGAAAGTCTCTCGAAGTTCCAACTTCGAAAAAAGAAGAAAAAAAAAATGTGAATGATGACGGGTTTTTTCGTGGGACGCCAAAAAAACCCCCGGAAATATGACTCCCATTCCCCCGCTAACAAGCATCCTGCCGGAGCGTGGTCGAACTCCCAAATTTCGCGCCAAAACTGGAAAGTTCACTACACTGCTGTTGTTCTCACGCCATCTCCCCTGCCCCACCTCTCTCAGCGACGCACAAGGAACCTGGCGGGCACACGGTGCGCCTCTTCCAGGTGAGTAGTGTTGGGTGGGCGGTATATTTGAGGACTTGCTACGATGGTGGTTGTACCAAACAATTCCTTGAGGCGGACGAATTGCTGACGAGACAGCCGAACGTGTGTAGCCTTGTGCTCCCGCGCGTCCATCGTAGGCTATTAACTCTCTACTGCCGTCTGGTAGCGCTCGAAGCAGTAGCGACTGATGTGGCGATGAGGATAGTCTATCTGTGTTGTCTGCGTCGTCGCCTCGAGAGGCTCTCGGGTGATAGCTCTGGAGCAATATAGGGTTGTAGGCAGAGAGGTATGGATGCACGTTGGATAGTTTATCACGGAATCTCTGTCTGCAGGGAAAATCCCGGATCCGCTCATCTATCGGTGGAGCTATGTATAGAAAACGAGCAGAGCAGGGACTCAATCCGCCCTTGCGTTGACAACCCCTTGCGGGGATGACCATATTCGATGGCTTTGACGAGAGCAACAGAAGGTGGAGAGAGAGAGAGAGAGGCAAAGCGCTCTTCTGCGACAAATACTCGACAGCAGTTGACAGGCTTCCGAGCTTTCTTTTTTCGCGCCAGAACCTGTGCTGTGTCCACCGCTCGCTTCCCTTTTAGCTTTGATGTCGAGCGAGAAACAGCAGAAGGAACGCCCCTTTGTTTTTGGCTGGGGTCTCTTGTTGCCAAGGTATCTTTAGTTTGGTGCATGGTTATGGTGGCAAGGGCTAAGGTGTCTTGGCTCTGTCTGGTGTGTTTGTGCTGTGTAGGCTCGTTGGTTGCGGAGCCAACAGCAGTCATGTCACGCGACAGAGCTGGGGGCGTCATAGTCGCTTCGGGGAACGTCTGCACACACAGAACGATCATGTCTTGGGTTCACAAACCCCGAAATTGACGTTAGGCGAGGAGGGAATGAGCCAACTGCATGCCTCTGTTTCGATAAAAACTAAGGTCAGCACCTCCGCTGTGGAGAGAAAAATAATATCCTGCTGTGCGGCCTTTCTCGGCTGTGTGAAAATGGCGGGTACGCAGTTGTATGCGCCATCATGTCTCAAATGACGTATCATATATGCCGTCCAGGGTAGATACTGCTGTAGATGGGGTGATACGTACATCGCTTTGTTTGTCATTTGTAGAAGGTGTCGGAGGGGGAAGAGGTCGGTGGGACAGGACAGTTCTCCAACATTCGCAACTGATGTATTCGTAACCCCAAATGAGTGCGGGTTCAACGGTTTGTTTGATGTCAAGCTTCACCAGCACCGAATCATGCATGGTGCCTGCCTGGCCTGCTTGGTCTTGCTACGGGCATGACTGCTTTCGACAATATCCTTGATCTGTTGCAGTCGTCGTCTAATGGCTACACAGATATCCAAAACGCTGCTACAGGTGCTGTGGGCCTATACTTCTGTAGACTGTACCCCGGGTGCACGTTGATGTGTATCCATATCCGCACAACATATTATTCGTGTGAAACGTTCGTGCTTGGCGGACGCAACAACGGCAGCAGGTGGGAACACCGGGTGGGTTGTTTCCTCTGCTCGTGTCTTGCAGCTTGCCTCCCGTTGATCCCATCCCGACATTCCTCTGCCGCCCACAAAAAGGTGCTGGCTTGAGCCTTGAACGGCCCTCCGCCACGAGGGAGAGGGGGAGCCAATATTGTGTTCAAGCTACCATGTCGGGGGGGCACGCGAACAGCCGCGATCAGGACAGGGAGGACCGCCGGTTGGCGGAGATGGACGCGATGGGGTCGGAGGTGTTCAACCTCAAGCTCGCCGTACAGGAGTACGAGGACCGACTGGCGAAGCTGTACCAGACGGAGGACCGCTCCAAGTGGCGGGGGCCAGCGACCCTTCTGGTGAGTTGGGTATATGCTCGAGGGTGTAGGTGCTGTTGTTGTTGTTGTTGTTGTTGTTGTGGTTGTTGTTGTTGTTGTTGGTGGTGGTGTTGGTGTTGTTGGCGTTGGTGCTGTCGCCGCCGTTCTAAATAGACAACCGTCAAGAGCTAGGTGTTCCCCCCCCATGGCATGGCACGCGTCGACACTGCGTTCGCGTTGTTGTTTTCGATGTCGTTAATCGATCAGACCGATCTGGAAGCCGCCGACCAGGAGGTAGACCGCTTGGAAAACACGGTCTCGAAGCTAAGGGACCAGCTTCACGGGGTAAGAGGCGGCGGCGGCAGCAGCAGCGATGGCGGTGCCGGTGCCGGTGCCGGTGGTGGTGGTGGTGGTGGTGGTGACGGCGAGTACGACTCCACGTTGTGGCCGGACACCCCACGGCATCAGGTAAGAACGATTCGGAGGCGTTTCTATACCGAGCAAGGTCAAGCAGAGCCTGACCGTTTCGTTTTTTGCTCTTGCGTCCTTAACGTAAGCGAAACATATTGAGCAAGTTCGACTGTAGTGATTGAATTTCAACCAAGGCGATGAAGGATTTTGCTTGTCGAACGAGCACGGTTATGACGTATCTATGGGTCTCGTTGGCACCCAGAGTGAGTAAGTAGCGCAGCAGCTTGAAAGACCGCTGTACGTGTCGCTACTACTGTCAACTGACCCGAGTGTTGTATACCACACGCGGTTTGGGTCTTGAGGATAACGGCTTGGGAGAGTCTAACCTCAACCCTCGCACCTTCGCTATCGCTAGGCGAGCGTAGAGGAACTCCGAGAGCAGATTGCCGGGCTCGAGGAGGACAACAGAGTCCTCGCTAGTGCGGCCGGTTGGGAGCTCTGTGGCGCATCAGAGGTGCGCACGCGGGTTCGGGAGTGGAAGCAGAAGGAGGGCAGTAAATCGACAGGCGAACGGTTGTAGTTGTTGATGTATTGCCCTTGATGCGGGCAGGCGTTCATGAGGCGCGCTCCACGAGCCTGTCGGTTTCAGGTGTGGTAAGATGTACAGCATTTCCAGTATGCTACAAGTCAGCGCTGATTTTACTTGTAGCATAGTGGACATGCTGTACGTCTAACAATAGTACAGCGGAACGTTGTAGTGCCCACTATCGTTTGAGCCACCAATGTTGGCCACTGAACTGCAACCAAGATACGCCTATTTTTCCCTCTCCGGCGTCGTTCTCCCGTCCTCTCAAATCCCTCTCTGCCGACATCGAAACCCGGCGCGTCAGGGGGAAGAGGATGACGCGTTGCTAGTGCCAACGGGGCCAAGCCAGCGGGTACAGGCCATCGAAGGGTTGAGCAACAGGATGAAGAAGCTCTCCGCGCTGCTCGACTCGACCTTGGAGAGGGAAGCTGACGCCAGGTTAGGACGGAGGAAGTCGTCGTTGCTCCCATTATCTTGGTAGATCCGGGCATCTCTTCGTCGACGCCGATGTGAAAAGAGGGGATAGTCCTCTCGGTAGACGTTGGGGGAGATTGTACCACAGTAGAGGTCCCTGTTTAGTGCCGGTCGAATAGTGCCGGTGTTGCCGGTATAGTGCCGGTGTTTTCGTCTCGCACACACTGGAATACCAAGTCGTTCTATACTTTGAATAGTGCCGGCGTTCTATACTTTGAACAGTGCCGGTCTCCGGTTTAGTGCCGGTGAATTTCGGCGCACTGTAATTCGGTCTCCAATATTTACGCATTTTTGGATGGGGAGGGTATTCGTGCGGAGGGGGGGTCGTCTACTACTGTGCCCCCTGTTGGGCCCCCACTTTTTTCAACTCCCAAATACTGTCCTAACTTGTTTTTTTTTTGCCGTTGCTGCGCGCTCGCCGGTGTCGATATGTTGTCCATTTCCTGTAATAGAGCGGCGGCAGAGGACGCCTATTCAAGGATGGAAGATGCGATCGCGAGGACAGAAGAACGTGAGTGTTTGTTGTTGTTTTTGACTTCCACGTCCAACAACCTTTTTGACCTGTACCCACCAGTGCTGTCTTCTGCCGTCGTTCTTCCATGGTCGGTGGTAGTCTAGCCGGCAAGAAGGCAATCTCCACGGCGCTAGACTATTATTGTACCCGAACAGGGAAGAGCAACTGCTTCGATGGTACGATACGGTCTCTGTGAGGATGGAAGAAGGCGGTTCGAACCCGACCTACTGCTGTTGCGCTGCCAGAACATGAAAAACGCACGACAAGCGGACAACACCAAAAACAGTTCCAAGCAAACGAGGGGGGAAAAAGAGAGCTCCTGGAAGCAACTTGTCACCCGGCCTTGTGTGTAACATTCCAGAGTCAAATCGAGAGCCCGGAGCTGTCGCCTAATCTCAACACTCTCAAAGCCTTGTGTGCAACACTCCAGAGAGAGAAAACAACGAGAGCAAGCAAGCAAGCACCAAACACGATGACCCCACCCAACCACCCCCCTTCTCACAACCAAACCACGGCAGTGGAGGTAGCCGTGTCGCTCTACAAGAAGGAGAAGGAATCCGCGCAGGGGCGCGAGAGCGCCCTCAGGACCGAGATGGAAGAAGCACGCAGCAGGGCCGCGAACAGACCGCCGCCGGCCGACAAGGAAGGGGACGGGGAGGCGGTGTCGGCGGGGGCTGGGGTGGAGAAGGCCTCGATGAGAGCCACTACGGGAACGAACACGGAAGAGGTTGGTTGCAGGGGACCGCCTTCGCTGGAAACTAAGTATTATGAGGATCAAGAACAGGGAGGGGGTACGCAGACCCTATTCCCTAACCCTAGCCCTAACCCAACTTCCGCGATTGCATGCTTTTATCCGACATGTTTGCTGAATACGAAAAACCTGCGAAGGCTACTGGTTGCAGGGAGGGGGGGGTGTACGCATGTTCATTCCTTAGCTGTTAGACCACGCGTCCTCGAGAGGAGGGAGAATTTGGGGCGGGGGGGGGCGGGGGGCGGTGTTTTGCCGTTGCCTGCGGAACAAAGACGTGTCTGGACCTTATCTGTCGCAGAATTTAAATGTTGTCTCGACACGCTAAATCCAATTGTTATGCTGCTAGAATTGTTTGAAATGGTGCGGGGGAAAGGATAGAAACATCAGGAGAGAGAGCGAGCCGTTCATTTCATGCCTCCAAACCAGACACCAAGGAAGCAAGAGTAGGGTGGCATTGTAACCTCTCAGCTGACTGTCCGCTGAAGAGATGCGCCCAATCTGTCTCATGTGTCTGCCTGGCCCTGGCTCAGGAATGGCCCGCCGTCGATGCCGCCAGCGACAAGTTGGAAGCCCTTGAGGCGGACGTGAAGCGATGGCAGGAGACCTGCGACCACGCCAACGCCCAGGTTCGTGCGGAATTGAGACCGCGCGCCCTCCTTCCTTTTGAGACACTCTTTCGGGACGTCCCGAAAAACATGTACCAACAGTAGAATTCCCCATTTTGAAACTACTTGCTGCAGATGGGTGTAGAGTTCCAAGGCCTCCCCGTCGTGTCTATTGCGGTGGTAAGAGCTGTGCATCCGCAGAAACCTCCCGCTGAGGAGTTCGTAGCGTTTATTTAACGTGACAAGACGCTAAGAATGAAGGTATCGCTCATACCACGCTGCCCCATGCGCTGGCTCTCTGTTGGTGCTAAGAAGGAGGTATCATTTGTAACACGCTGCCCCACGGACTGGCTCTCTTTTTTTCTTCTCTTTATTGTGTTTGTTGTTGTTGCCTTTAGATGTTGAAGGAAAAAAGCCTGGCGGAGGAGACCGCCCGACGGCTATCGGAGAAGGAGGCGGCGGTGCGAGAGCTGAACGCCAGAATCACGGCAATGGAGGCAGCGGCGGCGGAAGCGGAGGCCGCGGCGGCGGCAGCAGCTGCGGCTCCTTCCGCTGTTGGTGCGGGCGGTCGTTCTCCAACGGGTGTCCGACAGGTATGGTGGTAGCGCCCCGGGGATGGCCCTGTGTGCTTGCGCCTGCCTCTTTTTCTACGCTGGCTGCAATAGGCAAGCTGAGTGTTTGTACGCCGCCTTTGCGTGAGTAGTCGGTTGGCGCTTGGAGTTGAACAGAAAAAGCTTCGAAGCAGTATGTGTGTGTTCGTCGTCTGTTCTGGCGCCAGTCGACACGTTGCCCTTTGTGTGATACCTGTCCGATATAGCGTCAATCGAAAGTATTGTCTCGGTTACGGTTTATTTCCCTGAGAGAGTTGCGAAAGAGACGCTTGGTCCTTGTGGGGCAATGTCCAGCCCCAACGCAGACAGCTGAGGAGGCGTACATCTCTGACGGTGCAAGGAGTCTAACCAGACGCGACGCTCTGTAGTAAATAGCATAGACTGCACCCAACGAGGTTCATCCATCCCCCTCAAGCGCAACAACCTTCGCGTTCGGTTCAGGCAGCCATGTCCCCTTCACACCTTATAGCAGTTACCCCTACCCTCTATCCACCCCTCCTCCCGGATTTAGCGCTAAATCCGCCCGCCTTGCTCCCATATTCCGTTCGTCATGGCCAGTCCCGAAACCCCGAAGAAGACGAAACCGTCTCCAGCGACCAAGAAGGAGAGATGGAAGGAGATGGCGTTTCGTCGTACGCTCCTCCTGCTTCTGTTGCTGCCGCCGGCGCCGCCGCCGCTGCTGCGAGCAGCGACAGCAACAGCGGTTCCGTGAGGTCCGCCGCGCTGACGGACAACGACGGGACGTGGAAGGGTCGGGCACGGGCGAGCGCGGACACGGTCACCGCTGCCGACGACGCCGTCAGGAGAATCACGCCGGGGGCGGGCGCGGCAGACGACGGAGATGACGACCTTGATGTCTCGTCGCCGTCATCGTCGCGGTGTGAGGGAGACGGCCACGGCCGAGCTGATGGAGAATTGGCGGTGACGGCGGCGTCGGTGTCGGCGGCGGCGGCGGATTCACCATCAGACCTCGTGTCAGGTGAAGATGATTTCCACGACGACAAGAGGGCTGGGCAAGGGGAGAGTCGTGGTGGCACACGGCGGCCGCAGCAGCAGCAGCGGTCGCCCCGGGGGGCGGACGCGGGGTGCAAGACGAAGGAGCCTGCCGGAGGGCGAGGGGGGGTGCCGGCGGGGGAACAGCAGTTGCGGCAGAAGCAGCACGACGCCGAAACGCTCGACCTCGAGTATTTGTCTGGGTCGTCGGGAAGGAGGAGGACGAGGAGGAGAAGGAGGGAAGAAATTGCGCCCCTTGTTGGCGGCGGCGATGGTGATGGTGACACCGACGAGGACGAGCTCTCGACGGCGGAGTGCTCCGCGGAGACGGGAGTTGTCGGCGGCGGTGGCGGTGCTGGTGGCGGCGGTAACGCTGTCGGGGTTGGCTTCGACTTCTCCTCGGAGGTTCAGGAAGAAGGGGAGGAGGACGGGCGAGGACAGGAAGGGGAACAACAACCGGTCGGTGTACGTCTAGATCGATCTGACGGGCTGGACAGGAAAGACCAACGGCTTGCGTTCAGTCGAGAAGCAGCACACGCCTTGCCGCCGGTGTCGCCTGCAGCGGAGGACGACGCGGAGCAGCAGCAGCAGCAGCAGCACAATGGTTGGCAGCACACTCAAGACCAAGGAACAAGTGTCATCAGCCCGGGACAGCGCCCGGCAACAGGAGCAGCGGCAACAGCGGTAGTCTTGGGGAGCGACGAGCTCGCCGCGGCTACCCTACGTGCGGAGAGCGCCGCCCTCCGGGCCGAGGCCTCCGCGCAGCGGGCGGCCCTAGCCGCGAAGAGCGCCCGCGTCGACCGAGAGGGGGCCGAGATGTCGGCGCTGGAGGCGAACGCGGCGGTGGCGGCGATGGCGCAGGGGACGAAGTCAGCCACCGGCGCCGGCGCGGACCCCGCCGCAACGGCCGCCCCCGTTCACGGGTCGTTCGGAGGCGGAAACGTGTCGCCGCGTCCACCGGCCGGCAGAGAGTCGCCGACCGCGAGCTTGCAGCACCAGGAGCAGGAGCAGCCGCCGGCAGCAGTAGCCTCTGTGGTGGACTCTGCAGACGGCGCAGCCCGCGCCCCGGACAGTAGGCGGGCGGCGCGGCGGGCGAGGATGACCGCCCGGCTGGAGGCGCTGGCGGCGGCGACGGACGCGGAGAGGGGGGCAGGCAGGTACGGCAGCAGCCGCCGCAGCAGCTGCAGCAGCAGCAGCAGCAGCAGCAGCAGCTGCACCGGCGAGCTGCTGACCCCGTGGGACGGAGGAGGAGCGGCAGCGGCGACCGCCGGCACCACCACCGCCGCCCCGCACGTAAAGGACCACTACCACCAAAGGTCCCGCGACGGCATAATGCACCACCACCGACCGGCGAGGGAAGAGGATACGGAGGCGTCGTCCCTCGGGAGCGGGGTCACGCGGAGCTCGGAGGCGGGCTCGGGCAGGTTGCGGGCGTCCGGTCGTGCGCAAGACGTGGACTACTGGAACCGGCCGGCCACAATGGCGGCGGCGATGGCGGCGGTGGCAGCTGTCGCAAGAGGAGATGAAAGTGCGCAACGCGAACGGAGAACGGGGGGGGCGAAGCCCAAGCCTTCGGCGGCGTCGTTGTTGAACGGAGGGAGTGAGACGGGCAAGAGACTCGCTACAACAGGCGGGGGGGCTGCAAGAGGCGAAGGTATCGACATCGTGCTGAACAACGACCACGGGTCCTTTGCAGGCACTCTAACGGGGAGGAGTTCATCCGAGGCATCATTCGGTGCCCCGCCGCTGCCTCTGAGCGAAGCGGCGGCAACCGTTTCGCGGGAGGCATCACGGCGACGGCAACGGATACTCAAGCACGTGGAGGTGGGCCGCGGCGGGCAGGAACACTACCACGACGCCGCCGCCGCCGCCGTCAGGCGGTGCAACAGTCCCGCCGAGACCTCGGGACCCTCGTTCGGCGGGGTACCCGCCGACGCTTCTGCCACGGACGGCGGCGGCGCCGTTCTCGTGGACGATGGCTTCTACGGAGATTGTTTCTCTCCTCTGGAGCGGCGGTCAGCCTTGGCTATGCCCCCGAGAACGATCCCCCACCCTCGAGGGTGGGACGGCGGGGCGGTGGGTACCTCGAGGCCTAAGGCCAAGGCCACTAAGAAGAGAAAGAATCGGTCGACTGCCGCCGCCGCCGCCGCCGCCGCCG